TTTTTTTTTTTTTAATCAGGAAGTTATCACTGTGGAAGACTGGATAGTGATGGGAGCACAGGGTGGCAACACTGACAATACAAACACATGTGCATTGTGGAAGAAGGAAACAAAATGAAGCCAGTTCAGTTCCCTCTCTGCCCTGACTACCCGTGTTCACTTTCAGCCGTAGGTCACACACATTATTCATGTGTCAGAACACTCTCTGTTTCACACAAACACTTCTTGCCCCTCAAAAACAAGTACTTGGTAAAAATCTTTAACACTTTCTTTGCTAACACATAACTGATAACTTACTATAACTAAGGAAGATTAAAAGCCAAATGTTATAACAAATGCTAAAACTGAGCTCAATACAATATAAAATGTCTAGAATCAAAAAAAAATCATATAAATAGTCACATGTACACTTTGGATACCCACTCTTGTGGTTGACAGTCCTACAGTGAGCTGTAACCTGACTATCAGTGCAAGTCACCTGTCCAGCTATTACAAATCAGAATGCACCAAAAATAGTTTGTGATCAGAATGATGCTGCTCTTCTCCGAGCTGCAGGAGAGAGCTCCGCGTTCTCTCGGTTTGTCAGCCACACCGGGAATGGTGTCTCCAACGTCCCAGCACCAAGAAAACCCAGCTCAAAGCTTCCTGCCTGCTCGAGGTTCGGGCTAGCACCAGTTCTGTGCAAATTCCTTAGGCTGGTTTGGCACTGCCACCCAACGCCGTTCTGCAAGTCAAGTCTTATTTGTTGCATACAAACGTGGCATGAGCATTTGCTCAACATGCAAATGACAATTACAAAAAAAGGGAAAACAAACAAAGAAAGAAAGAGCTACCGAGGGTCTAGAGCAGAGGCACGTGCAGGAGCTCGGATGAGTACACGGGGTAGCCGAGCGGCGGCTCGGCCGCCTGCACCGTGAGGTTGCGGAGCAGCACGGGGTGCGCCTGGATGCTGTAGCGCTCCTCGTCGTCGTTGGTAGCGTACAGCAGCTCCCAGGACAGGTTTGCCCACTGGCCTCGCACCGCCTCGTCATTAAGCTTTCCCACTTGGACGAGCAAGTCCTGAAGCGTGAGCACTCGCCCAGTATAAATCCCCTTCGGAAACAAAGACATCAAAATGTTCAGGACGTTCTCCAAAAAGATCAACAGGCCTCTCAGCTACAAAGCACCAAGTGGAGCTTTGGGACCCGGCATTTTAAGAAAATTGGCCCTATAAACACTCAGCAGCAATAAAGGAAGGTGACTGCAGACTAAAGAGCAAACACACAGTCCTCAGTTAAGACCACATGTGCTGAGCAGACACCCCCAGTCTGTGCTGTTGCGTACATTTTTGAACAGCAAAGTGTTCAGCAAGTCTTCTTGGATCAATACTTGCATCAAAGAAACAATCAGCAAATATGGCCACATCTCAAACAGATGCCTTATGATTTCCAGCAACAGCGATGTGAGCTCCAGTCCAGCACAAACATGACCTTTGGCTGCACAGTCAGCTTTTGGGAGACAGCACAATAAAATTCAAGCAGCAGAAAAGAAAAACAAACTCTGTTCTTACTTACTGGCAATTCTTTCCTTACCATGTTTGGATCATGTCCCAAAGAAAAAAGGTATGGCTTCTCCTGGAGAACTGCCTGCTGCCACTCGCGATCCGACACCAGCCCGATGTACCAGTCGTTCTCATACTCTTCCAGACAGTTCACTAGCTCTTTGAAGTCCTCCACTGGCCCCAGACTTGCTTTGTCAAGCATAAGTTTGAAAGTGTATCTGAAAGGCACAGAAATCCACACTGTAAGCACTGCTGCAGGACATACAAGAAAGAAACCCTCTGAGTTACAGAAGTCAGGAATACACCATCAAATGTTATAAAACAGTAGCAAATTTTAAGTTGCTCCTTATCAGTTTAGTCACCAGAAGCTAGTATGAACATGCTTTTAGCTCACTGAAATGTGCTATAAAAACATATTTGCTTCAACATCTTTCATTCAACTCAAAGATGGGTACAACTGTCTGATAATGGTAAAAGCAAAACAAAATCCCATCGCCATTTTTCTTACATGTTTTGAACAATGATCAATGGATCATTTTTCCCTACTTAGAGGGAATTTCCAGCGGAGAAGGGAAGGAGGAAAGGGTCTCCTTCCTATCACAACCTTCACTACCTGAGGCTATAGACAATATTATTTATGCAGAAAGAAGCAGCAGAAAGAAAATCTAGGTGTCTTTAAATTGCACGGTTTGAAAATGAACATCACTTTGTGAAGTGACACTACTTTCAGAACAACCACCACCCTCTATGTCATTTTTATAATCTCAGGGAACTTTCTTCCTCCACCTGAACGCTTTCAATGCGAGCTGGAATAGCTCTGGTTTGCTGGTTAGCCAGTCCAGCCCCACAGACCAGGGGATCCCACCGGTGTAGGCTCTGAACACGTGGCTAGGGGCAGGCACCGTGTTCTCCAGTCCAAAGAGACCAAAGCAACATGACAAGACGCCGTGGATGTATAAATCTTTCAAGGCTTTATCCTTCATAAGGTCTTCAAGTAAACTGGAAGGCTTCTCTTTCAGATGAAAGAAGTCCAGCTGACTCAAAATGAAGCAGTACCAGTCGTCAGGAAACCGCTGCCTCATCTCGTGCACTTTGGAAACGGGGACCGGGGCTGTTCTCCACTCTGCCGGGATGCTCAGCAGCTCCGCGTAGGAGCAACTAAACTCGACCAGAGGTGGAACCTCTCGCTGTTTGCCTTTGTCTGCGGCAGGTAGTCCAAGCACAACTGCCCTGTATAACTTATCTTCTGGAGACATTTCCTGTAGGACATCCTGATTCTGGGTTTCTACAGACCCTGGAATAGACAAATGTGTTTTTGGTGTCATTACCACTTGCCCAGTTTCTTTTCTGTCTCTCCCTCTGCCACTGGGTTCAAGACCAAAAATGTCACTGTCATCAGTCCAATCCTCAATCGTATCAACGCTAAAGCTATCGTCGTCCCTCAGAGGCCTCGATCTTTCCACTGCACTGCTACATGGATTTTCTGGAAATGATCCTTTTTGGTTCTTGTCTGCAATCTCCAGGCTTTCCCACTGCTTTGATTTTTTATAGCAGTATTGAACAAGCATCCATACGAGCACTTTAATGAAGTCATCTTTCAGATGCTTTAAATTTTCATGAGAGTCAATTATTCCAGACAACACGCTTCTGGCATCTGAATACAGTCTCACAGGTAGAACCGTACAAGGAGTCAAAATGTTTCCAAAATGGTGATTAAGGGAGACAATCTTTGTGTGCTCCTGATGTTCGAAGGCCATTTCAAAAATCTCATCCACTCTGTGAGCTTCAGCAGCATGACAGGAAGTTTCCTGCAATTCCAGCCCCTAAAGTATAAATGAAAACAATTTGGTTTCAGTCTTAACCAGTACATACCCTTATGAGCTATTTTCTTGCAACAAGATTTTTCTCAGCAAATAAAGATACGCTCCCTTGTTGGTATTTCCAGAACTAAGTTATCTACAAGTTTAACCAGATATCAGCATCACTAGCAAAGTATTTATTACAGTATTCAGCATAGATTGGTAACTGTCTTAAAAACAGTCAAATAAGTTGCTTCATAGAGATTTGGCTTAGCCAGCTTATTAAAGTGTTATGTCACAAGTTAGACAATAAAATAACAAAAAGAATTCACATCCTCTAGTCATCTTGACTCGTTTGTGACTTCTTAGATTTCCTAAATAATCTGTGTGGTTTACATGGTTTTAAAACAACATGAAAGAGCAGGGCTGCAAGACTAAGTAGTGTCAGGTAATAATGAGTCCTTGGCATGCAGTTACCTTAATATTAACACAACAGTAAGTGAAGCCCCTTTCTAGCACCAATATCCACATGAGTCTGTCCTGAAAACGGCACAGGTAGTGTGATCCGGGCAGAGACACACCTAGGCATGGGACAAAAAAAGTTTATAGCTTGGTTATACTTTGGTATTATTTTATCTTTCCTACATGCCCGCTGAGGAATTCACATAAATAAAACATTTTTTTTCATTGACATCAAAGTTAATGGAATAAAATGGCTAAAAACCTGGTAAAAATGTCTTGCTAGTACCTAGATTCTTACACAACGTGGCTGCAAACTGGCTCTTGAAAATATAAATCTGTCTCTGGAAAAGCTGACACATGACATTTTTTCCTCTTGATTTCCATAAAAAGAACAATGTCAAATTCTTGCAATTGCTCTTCTTACTGTCATTCTTTTAAGTTATTGCCTGTTTTCATCTCCTCCAATAACAGGCCACTACCCCTGAGCACGGACAGGGACGTTTGCTGCCCGTACAGACTTGCTCCTAATCTCACTCATGTCCAGTGATCACTCAAGTGCACAAAGAATTTCAATTTTAAAGCCCTGTAAGATGAAATCAATGAAACCAACCATTAGGCTATAGTTAAAATTTAAGCAACCTTTTCTATCCCACTGAGCTAATGAAGTGCATTTTCTTGCTAACATTTTACAAGATTTTAATTTTTTTCCTTCTATCAAAGCTATTAAAACACGTTTACAGAGAAATGGGTATGATTTTAAATTAAAATAGAGACACTCAAAGTGCTACTTTTTCACCTTTAACTCATCTGAAAACATACATTTACTTCTTGAAGACATTCACTCATAGATTTTTCCATTAAAAAGACGAGCATTTTCTTCCAAGATTGGTGCTTTGGATCATTTAATCTGAGGCATAAATGCCACAAAATGGTCAAAATAGTAACTGGGAAAACATACAAATGCATACGTATACCTAGACACACACCCCTACACACATTTTTGACTGATGAAGGAGGCTAAGTGAAGTTTCTTTCTCCCTTAATGGAAAGAAGCTTCCTAGTTTTCCATTTTTAATACTTCTCCCCCTGTACCAAAACTGCAGAAAATGTTCCCTAATAAAGTGTTTGAATTTCTTCTTCAAAAAAGACTGATTACAGTTAATTTCCACTGTCTTTAAATAGTCGTACGCTATTTTGTTGAAGGCTTATGTAAATATTTGTCTCTTGTCAAAAAGCAATGTCATCTTGATTATTTAGGTTATGCAAAGGCTACATTTTCTTGTTTCTACAGAACACGAGCGCAATTTGCACAGTTACTGTGTCACCAGCTAGGAAAAGGACTCAGTATTCTATCATTTCTGTTTATATAATTTAATAAAATACTCATGATGATGCCTTCTGCAGGTTTAAGACCAAAACGTGCTACTACAACTCTAACCTACCTGCTGCCAAAGATGTGCCATGAAGCCTCATCAACTCGTTCTGGTCTCAACTGTTTACTGCTGCTTAGGCTACAACCATCATTTCAGATTCATTCTCCCTAATTAACATACCCAGATCAGTAAAAATCACCTGCTGGTCCCTGAAGAGGGACACTGCAGCGTGAATCAGATACATTCACACTCAGAGAGCAGTCTGACATCCCCTCCTTCTCCTCAGTGGCTCCTCACTGTCAAGAGGCAGCCAGGATGCTTGTGTGCTGAAGGGATCTCAGTTTATTGCCTAGAATCAGGTGGCATGAATCCGTATCACCTGAACTTGTTCAGTATGGATTTTTTTTTTCCTTAAAGGAAAAAACAATACAGACCATAACATAGTGAAAGATGATGACTTTTTCCTCAAGGGAGTGATCTCTGAATATTACAATTAACCTATGTTGTGAAACTTGATTTAAATCCAACAATACAATTTTCTTACTTTGCAGTAAAATACCATTTCTTAAAGCACTTAACTGCATTCCCCTATGGAATTGTTAGTGTACTCACCCAGGCTGCCAGCTGCTAACGCCGATTGCAGAGCAACAGCCAGGCTTGGAACCAGCTGCTGGTAGTAGACAGTGTCAGCGCAAACACACGCGGTGGCCCCCACGGGTCCCGGCCAGCTCCGGACAGGCCTCGGGAAGCCTATCAGGAAGACCGGGAGCGTGAAGAGCGGCAGCAGAGGAGAGGAGAGCAGCGCAGAGACAGCCACGAAGGTCACCAGGATGGGGAAGAAAACCACGTTGAGGGTGATCAAGGTGGCAGTGGATTTGCGGCGCTGTTTTTTCTCTGTCCATGATGTCAGAAGAATGGCTACGGCAAACTGCAGTTTTGAGACAAACTGGAGCAGTCGATCCCGTAGGATACCGACCTGCAAGACAAAACGAGCACGTATTTATTTGGAATCTGTGCCTGATCACATCCAGCACTACCAAAGCTGACTCTCTGGACAAGTTTTGAAGATATGCAGTAAGACTATCATCAACTGATATTAAAATAATGTCTCAATTACAATTTTAGCCTTGACTTACTAGGCCCCAGATCCTAATTGTGTATTGAGACACATGTAAGAAACTGAAATTTATAGGACAACTATCTGCTTAAATCTGCATGATGACAATTACCAGCAAGAGTCTGATTCCTGTATTGAGGCTCCTGTTCCACCACGTGTCCTGATTAAACACCAATATTTGTGTTACTGACACAACCACTATGTCCAGTAAAGCATTCTCTGTATTCTGCCAGACCTAAAAGAAGGATAAGTCAGACATATATTTAAAAACATTTATATATTTTCTTAGCTTTTTTGACCTGGAGTATTTCTTCCAAGCCACTTTAATGCTTAAATCATGCACAAGCAAAAACATCTTAGGCGGAGTAGCAAATTTAAAATTCAAATTACCATTCTAAATATTCTTGTGAATCCAATGCAAACAGACACAGAATGAAGATTTTGTAGGGAGCAGTCAAGTGACAGGAACGCTAGCATAGCAAATGGACACACTGTAATTGAAATAAAATATTCATCAATTTCTTTAAAAAAAATAATTAAAGTCTACAGAGGTAAGCAGTGCAGAATGGAAATCTGAACATAAAAAGAGCACTCTTCCAATCAAGTAATTACTGCAAATTCCTCTTCCTACTACACCTCTGGAATATAAAAATTAAATAGCACATTTGCACTAATGACAAAAGACTCAAACTTTTATGTCCATGTTTAACTGTTGGAATTTTTTTTAAGTTTCCCTGAAGATAATAGAAATACTCAAATAAGCAAAAATAAACACAGGAAAACCATTCATCAATCCGCTTCCCAAAACTGCCAAACCTTTATGATATTAAATGAATTTAGATCAAGCTTTGGTTCCCCCACAGTAAACAAATCTGTCACTAACTTTACTAGAAACGAGACTGGGCCCTTTCCTAGGAAGCTAAAAGAACCTAGTAATTAATGAACTTGAAGACTCTAACATTTGTTACTATCTTTTTTAAAAAAAAATCTACAACAGCAGTTTCTCAAAAGTGAATATTGATGTTATAACGAAAGTTATTATGAAGGCCTTGATTTCTAACACGGATTTTTTAAAGCTTGACCTTTTAGGCTGGCCCTATCACTGATCATTTTCAAATATTCTGAGGCAGTAATTTTGACCTCAATGTGATTCAGCCCAACATCAATAAATATTTCTAACTATTTACTATGTCTTAGCTCATTCACAGAATCTTGCACATAGAGCAATTCTAGTTTGCTGTCCATTTTCCTATAATCATCATCTAACAAACAACAGATAGTGCGTATTCCTACCTAGTGTTAGTAAAATCCTCCTGACAACACCAACTTTCATTAGCCTTCTTTGCTTCTCCATGAACACAGTCACAGTTCTGATATCCTTTGGATAAAAGGGGTTTCGGAAGACTCCACACAAGTACACTCTCTGAATCTCTCTAAGAATCCACATAATTATGAGTAATAGCATCAGAATGTAACTTGCTATAGCCTGAGGACTGCCTTTGGAAAAAGATGAAAACCCAGCAAAGTGATGCAGCAGGCTGGCTTCTAGGAGAGCGAATGTCAGCACAGTCAAATAAAAAATGAATTCCCGCCACCCAAACTGTGTTCTAAGACCTCTGTGCATATTTTTAGACTTGCTGGAGGCTAAGTGGCCGATCAGGGTGTGTTTGAAGGCAAAAGCAATCTCGCTTAGGTTAAGACTCAGTATGAACCCACATCCAGTCATGAAGAGGATCACACCGAGAGTGCTGGGAATGAAATACGATGCTATTGCTGTTCCAGCAGAAATGAGAAACATTACTAATAACCTGTGAAGGAGAAAATAAAAAAGATTTGCTTGAAAAGAAAAAGGTTATCAATGTTATTGATATATTTTATCATTATGTAAACAAAATTTACTTTGTGTTACTTGACAGAGGTGAACCTCCTAGTCCAAACTCCAACAGTTGTTCCATTCCCCATAGAAAAAGTGCATCAAGTGGGGGCAGAATTCCCATTGCCCATAAGACTGGCAGAAAAAGAAACACAATGTGCAAAATCTGGTTCGTCTGTTCTAGAACAGGCGTGTTGACAGCAAACCTAGATAAGACAAGAAATGTATTTGACTTCTTTAAAGGAAAAGATAGCTGACACATAGAAAGAGTATTTGTTTAACTAATACAGTAAATCCAGAAGCATAAACATTACATAAACTCAGCAGCTCTTTCATTAAAGGAAAATAAGTACCAATGTTTTTCAGTTTATGCTTGGGGCAGGAATACAATAATTAGAACACCAGAACACAAGCTGATTTTTCATTCAAAAGATTCAAAGTCTTTAAATTACCTAGATGAGCCAAATGAATTCAGTGTCCTAATTATTTTGATACTACTGCTACAATACACTGAAGAAACACTGAGTGAAGAAAGTGTTGGGCCCAGAGGGTCAAGACCTCAATCTGATTAACAGAAGAGTGCTAAGGTGTTATTTTAGTGCTACAATAACATAACATCTGTGTAAAGCCAAGAAACAATTTCTAAGAATTAATTCTGAACTGTCATGTTGCCTGTACATCAGAACATAAACTCTCTTTAGGGATATAAATGCATTTTTGTGCATAAAAGTATTTATCTTTCTGTAAAAATGCAAAGATCAGTATTACACATCTGCATAAATTGCAAGCCATATACTATTTATGGAGAAGATAATTAACTTAAAAGATGGACTACTAAGATATCTGGCTTTACTTTTTACTATACAAGTAAGTAATTTTCCAAATAATTTTGTCTGGAATTTTAAGAATGTCTGAAGTTTCTCCTCACAAATTGAAGTATAAGAATTTGGGATCCAAGACCACATGTGTAATTCTCATTTCATAACTGAAGGGATATCTGAGGTAAACCATTAATAAAGGTATTTCCAGGTGCATAACTAGTAAAATCAAACATTTTTTTTGTTATTTTAAAGTGCATTTAAGCATCCCAAGCATAAAATATGTACGTGTGAAAATAAGTATCAACCAACAAGGCGAAACAACATGTGAAGTAATGCCAAAAAACACTGTGCCTTAAAAAATTCTGCAAATGTTTTGGCTAAAACATTCAGCTGAAAAATGGGAAGATAAAATCATCCCCCACTCATAAATGGATAAAGTTCTAGTGTATTGCATATTTAAAAACACAAGTTCAAAATCCATATAACAAGGCCCACATTTGTCTACCCACTCACTAAATTCATGTTTTGTTTTGTTTTTGCCTGGTGTTTCATTCTACAGAGATAAAATTAAAAAATAATCAAGGATAAAATTTAGGAGCACTGGTTCTAAATCCAAAGTCTGCAGTGTTCAGATCGATGCTTCCCAGGCAGAAAAACTTTTTTTGAGAACATACCTTCAAAAAGGATGATAATGCAAATGCTCTTGTAGAATAACACACTGCAGAAGATAATTTTAACCGTATGTAATTTAGAACCGCTGAGGATCTTCCTAACTTATGTGGAATGCTATAAAACTCAAATAACTTTTTTATATACAAAATAGAGCTTCAACTTCTATTGCATAATCTTGTAGGCTTTTTTTTTTTTTTTGGACTTCGACAGCTGAATAGAATTTCAAATTATCTTTTCCTCAGGAAAAAAAAACATTTTATCTTTATACCAAAATATACAGAACAACCATTGTTTTCATTAGCTAAATGCTGTATTAAGTTTACCTGTGTGCAAGATCCACTGCAATAAAAACAAAAATATAGAAAGGTCTCATGAGCGCAGTAATTTCATACGTATCCAGTGCTTGGAAAGTAGCTGTTTCGGTAGCTGTATTTACAGTTAATGAATACTCTCCTATACATATGGTCACCCATCCAAATACAAAGATGACAACAGTTCCTCCAATGTTACTATAGAGCAAGGTTAATCTGTTGGGCAGCAAATACCAAGTTCCCAGACCACACAATACCCCTGCCAGAAGGGGATGAAACACAGTGTTGATTATATACTTCTTGCCAGGAATAATGAATTTTACAGTTTCTGAACCTACACAGCTGGAAAACTCAAACTCATCTTCATCTGTTAGGGTATTCTGAATTTGCATTCTTTCTACTGTCACTGTCTTCTGTTTTGCATACAGATTTGTCATTTGGAGAGTAAGTGCAGTAACAAACATGAGTCCTCCTGAAAGTGCTGCAGTATAATAGTCTTTCATAATGTCCAGTTGGTACAACAGTGTTCCTACTCCTCCCAAAACCCATGGTGTCAAGAAAAGAATAATCTGATTCACATATATGTAAGGAGGGGCACAATAGCCTAATTTAAAGCGGGGACCTCCCAGCACAGTCTGCGGAAAGCGCTTCAAGAAGAACTCCTGTTTGTAATCATTCAGCAGGGGTACATCTGGACCCATTCTTGTCACTCAGGAATGCTGGATGAGTATCATTTTTCCTGTAAGAGAACAGAAAGAAAAAGAAGGCAATATTACAAGATCTAGCATTCAAAACTCAAGCAGACAATTCTTTTGTCCTATTTTCACTTACCAAGTCACAGTGGAATTCTGACATGTTAGTTGACAATAGCCTAAAGCATCTATATACCTCCCTAGAACACAACTACTAAACAAACATCTCAAATGAAGGAAAAAAAAAACAAAAAAAAGACAATATATTTTAAAATAAAGAATGTATTGATGATCTAAAGCTTTGTGCAACAAATAAAGCACATGAACTATTCTTGGAAAATGACAATCAATTCATTTCCACAGAAGAAAATCTTCCTAAAACGGGAATGCTTTTCATCCAGCCTGATTCCAATCACATCTTGCCAAGAACCTCCAATTCCAATTAATCCTGTTAAAGATCTCCATATACAAGTAGCTGAATAGAAGAGCAGCCATTAATTTCAGTGACTATCCATGTAAAATCAAGGAATACAGCTACACTTGGGTCTCTAGAAAAAAATCAAATTACAAAGTATCCTACTTCCAAAAAATTACGTTAAGTATTAAAAATTGCATTTGTACATCAACATTTTTACCATCTTCCCCATACAGCCTAGTCACAGAATAGGATCTTATTGTATCACACAAGATCAGCTTCTGACTCCAAAACTGGTTACTTAAATATAAAATATATATATAAAAACAAAACTTACAAGTTGTAGCAAAATCAGCATATATTCTATTCTATATTCAGTCATCGAAGAAAACTGGAGAAAAAAAAAAGGACACCTGTAAACCTTCAAAATCAGCAGTGTTTTGACAGAGATCAGATTTAATGAACACTCAGATGATGAAGCAATGTAGGAATAATGGTTGCAGGAAGGTAATTAGACAGTCAAACACAATCTTATACTACCAGTCACAAAACCAAGCACCTATGGATGACAGGCAAAAACATTCTAGACATAGGGTGAAAACAACAGCATAATGAATATAATGTGAAAGCACTCATTCATAATAAAAAAGGTGTTGGCATGCGTTAGAAGAGGTGCAAGGATTGCAATTCTGTGTTCCTTCTAACAGACATGTATAATCTGACAAACTCCTATTAGCCAGCACTGCTGCTACTGAAAGAATGGAACACAGGACTGCGATGGAGCTTCCGAACTACGGCGATCCCTTCCTTCCTTCTGTAACGCTGAAGGCTGCAAGGTGCTTTGAAGCATAATTTTCTCCTTACATTTAAACAGACATCAATCACTGACTCTAGGTAAATACTGGTCACCCTAGAATTTAGCTAGAAACAGTGCAAAGGAGAGATATTAGCAGTCATTCATACAGATTGTCATGCTGGGAAAGTTGCTTTTTGGGTCTACTAAGTCAATATAGTCCATAATGAAAAGCGAGACCTTACAAACTCTTTTACTACTAGCCATAGACACTTTTTGGGGGGGACTTGTAAAAAAGTGGAATTGAAATCATAAAGATCTCTTGGTCATTCCATTCCAAGCTAGTGAATGTTTTTTTTAAGCAAAGGCAGAGGCAACAGTTGCTCATAAGGAAAACACCGCTCTCCGTGCGCTGACACTGAAGAGTGGAATTTGTTGCACTTGGCTCAAGAACTTGAGAATGTAACAAGGACACACCCGTCCAAAAATGATTCTCAAATATAATCTAAAAAATTTCACAATCTGGCCAAACTTTGTTTATAAAAAGAAACACTGTTTAAAGGACTGCGCACATATGAAACTAAGTTACTAAGTTATATGCTGTGGAAGTTTTGTATGTATGTAAAGGCAGTTGAGTTTTAAAGGGTACGTAACACCCAAACGTGCACCGTTCTCCATTATAAACAGCTTTCTGGCAGCTGCGACTTTCTCCCCTCTTTAAAAAGAGCTATTTTCGTCTCAAGTTCTTCTTCACCTTCCTGCTTGTTGTTTTTTACTACTAGCAGCACGTTCATAAAACTTTTGTATAACAGTTTGTGCATAAACAGCAGATTGATGCACTCAAGCAACGTAGCTCCACTTGGCTACGCCCCTGCACCTAAAAACGGACCATACAGAGAAATGGATTTATTTATAAAAGCAGAAGCCCAAGCTCAATGAACGTGGAAACGACACCGTCCTGGCTGCCTGCGCGCAGCCGGGCAGCGCCTGCCAGCACTTCAAAGGGGCCCGGCTCGTTATTTCTGTACGAAGTCCTAGCAACGCGGGACGTGTCTGCAGGCCCTGGTTTCGCTGCACATTCTTGACGCCCGGGCCGGGCCCGGCTTGGGCATCGTGCCCGGCTACCCGAGCAGCAGCAGGGGGCTGAGACATTGGGAAGGGCTTCCCACCGTGGGGCCACGTAGGTTTCGCCCCGCAACCAACACTGGGGCTTCTGCACTGTAACAGGGCAAACACTGCTCGTGTCCAGGCAAAAATCTGCAGGGAGGGCACCAAGTTTTGCCCAAATGAACATCCTCCTCTGTAGGCACCAACGATGTCTCAGTTTAAGGGCAGTTTTATTACAAGGGGACCCATGTGGAAACCTTGGCTGTTGAAGCCACGTTCATTTTAGAAATACTTACCTGGTGGTCCTCCCCCATGACGCTAAGTAACGGTTATGAACCAACCGCCACAGCGTGCGGCCGGGGGGCAGCCCAGGGCGGGCACCTTCCTGCGAACCTCCGGCTCAGGTGCCGTCTCCATCAGCAGCGCTCTGTCCCCACCGCCACCTCCTTCCCGAGGAAACCTCTGCACCTGACCAGCAGCACGGTCATCCCATTTAAAAATGAATAAATAAATATTAAAAAAAGAACTTTTAAAAAAATTATTATTAACCCAGCAACTCTGCCCAAATCTTTTACACACGAAAAGCAACCACGAATAATTAGAGGCGTCGTGTCCGTGTTTTCACTCCGGAGGG